GCATAGCACGTTTCTTTGTGAGTATATCATTAACGTACTAAACTCGCATTCCACCTAGTACTTGGTAGGAAATGGCAACAGTGGATTCAACATAGCACGTTTTTTTTTACATCATTAACCGTGCTGAAACCGCATTCCACCTAGTACTTGGTAGGAAAGAACACAGTGGATTCAACAAAGCACGTTTCTTTGCGAGTACATCATTAACGTACTTAACCCGCATTCAACCTAATACTTGGTATGAAATGACAACAGTGGATTCAACATAGCACGTTTCTTTATGAGTACATCATTAACCGTGCTGAAACCGCATTCCACCTAGTACTTGGTAGGAAAGAGCACAGTGGATTCAACATAACACGTTTCTTTGTGAGTACATCATTAACCGTGCTGAAACCGCATTCCACCTAGTACTTGGTAGGAAATGACAACAGTGGATTCAACATAACACGTTTCTTTGTGAGTAGATCATTAACGTACTAAACTCGCATTCCACCTAGTACTTGGTAGGAAATGGCAACAGTGGATTCAACATAGCACGTTTCTTTGTGAGTACATCATTAACCGTACTGAAACTCGCATTCCACTTAGTACTTGGTAGGAAATGACAACAGTGGATTCAACATAGCACGTTTCTTTGTGAGTACATCATTAACCGTATTGAAACCGCATTCCACCTAGTACATGGTAGGAAAGAGCACAGTGGATTCAACAAAGCACGTTTCTTTGTGAGTACATCATTAATCATGCTGAAACTGCATTCCACCTAGTACTTGGTAGGAAATGACAACAGTGGATTCAACATAGCACGTTTCTTTATGAGTACATCATTAACCGTGCTGAAACCGCATTCCACCTAGTACTTGGTAGGAAATGACAACAGTGGATTCAACATAGCACGTTTCTTTGTGAGTACATCATTAACCGTGTTGAAACCGCATTCCACCTAGTACATGGTAGGAAAGAGCACAGTGGATTCAACAAAGCACGTTTCTTTGTGAGTACATCATTAATCATGCTGAAACTGCATTCCACCTAGTACTTGGTAGGAAATGACAACAGTGGATTCAACATAGCACGTTTCTTTATGAGTACATCATTAACCGTGCTGAAACCGCATTCCACCTAGTACTTGGTAGGAAATGGCAACAGTGGATTCAACATAGCACGTTTCTTTATGAGTACATCATTAACCGTGCTGAAACCGCATTCCACCTAGTACTTGGTAGGAAATGGCAACAGTGGATTCAACATAACACGTTTCTTTATGAGTACATCATTAACCAACAGTGGATCATTAAGGAACTTTCTTTGTGAGAACACAGATCTTTTCATTATTTATTTATAGGTTCGTGTCTATGTTGTTTTTTTATAATAGAGCCTATGTCATATTAAAATATTTGGGTGTCTGAATAGCATCTTCCATCGTGTCTAAACCATTCGTCGTACTTACTTAATAAGACCGTGTCAATACCCGTATTCGTCATACGATAAGCATCTACTGACTAGACCAATTTGATAATATGTCGTTTGTGTGGATGAAATTAGTTTTGTTGAATTTATTTGGATTTTGGAATACAGATGAGATAGTTGGTAAGTGATTTTATCTAACATTATATAGAATTATCCTGGTCGCTTCAAGGAATGCACCGCTACAGCAGCCTTGTAGCGGGACTGACACACTAATTGTTCGAATCGCAATCCAATCTGGCAAGAGTCACCGATAATAGTCAATCATAAGTTGTATACACTCTTTTTACGCTATCGTGTAAATAAATTTGATTACGCACATATACAATTACCCAAAGCTACGTTGTATACGTACATTTAAAACAAACTTTATGTTAGTAAAGTTATTGTAAACCACATGCTGAAAAAAAAGATGCATACGTCAATTTACAATTACCTAATGTTGTAAATAAAGATGTATTCACAGATTTACAATTACCTTAGGCTAGCATGTAAATAAATTTGTTTACGTATATTAACAATTACCTTAAGCCTTGTTGTAAGTGAAGTTGTATTAGCACATTTCAAACAAACCTTATGCTGTACATAAAATTGTATACAATCATTTACCATTATTTTATGACTTTAATTAAGTCATACTACTCAATTACAATTACTTCAACTGTAAATAAATTCCTTTTATTTCAATGTTCAGATAATTCTTTCGTCTCTTTCTAGTTTTTGGATTAAAGAATCTGGCACTAAACAAACCAACAAGACAAACTAGTGACTATGGCATTCATGGTTCATATTCTTCCAATGCGGTCGATGGAGATCTAATAACAGACGATAACTGCTCTCATACACATAATCCAGCAGATACACCTAATTGGTTGATGGTTGACTTAGAAGCTGAAAATGAAATTACAAATATCAAGGTCTTAAACAGAAAGGGACATAGGGATTGAGTATTTTGAATCTTGAAAAAGATCAATTGGACGAATGTTCAAGAGGGCTGCCGTTAGACTCTAACTGAAGTGGCTATATTAAGAATAAAAGTTAATAAGAAACAAAAAGAAAATTTCGTCTCGTTTTACTTAGACTTATCTTTATTTTACATTTTGAATTTTTTTTATTTAAAATTGTTCTTCACAATGACTTTTAGAATTCTACTTGGCATCATTTTTTGCGCCCACATTATAATGTGGTTGTGATTGTATGATTGTGATCAATATTCAGTGAGACAGTGTGAACAATTCTCCTACAATCACAGATTATCAGTCATCAATTGAAAGAAGATTTGGCTGTTTAAGTTGTTAATATCTATTTTATTTTTAGGTGATAAATTGAGAAATTTTACTGTTTCTGTTTGGCAATATGATCCTGGTCCTCATATCAAATATAACATGGTGGATACTGAATACTGTATTTGTGTCCATTACCCGAACACAGCAGAGAGAGGCACCTGGACAAATTTAACATGTACGAAAATATGTTTGGGAAGATTTGTTCTGTTTGTTTTGAACAACCCGACAGTTTTAACAATATGTGAATTAGAGATATTTGGTGATATATACAATGGCTGTTCAACACAGTACTTACCTGGTAGGTTTAGAATAAAGGGATATATACTTCTAATAATGAGATTATAGTCAACTAAATATTTGATTTACTAGCCGTTAAAACTCTATTTCAGAAAGTAAATCCAGCGTGCAATTTGTCAATAATGTCGTAAGAAAAGAAACCAGTGATGATATTGTAATATGCCATCATCAAGCGGAGATTCAAAATGGGATTAGAGACATTTTTTATCAGCGTCATTTCATTTCCCGTCAGGGAATAAGTGTTTTTTGTTTAAATTCCAGAAAATGCTTACAAGATCATGATGCAATTATCTCAAAAACTCGGACATTGTGCTAGAAAATCCTGAATAAATACAATTCAAATTAGAATACAATTTAGTTCATTTTTATTTTTTGATATTGTTCGTCTTCATTGTTCATTGTGTAATCTTACAATATTTTTTAACCGTAGTCACGTTCTAATGACGTCTGTTTTAACCAATCAAAGCGTGTAATTCTGGTAATGCAATTCTTTCACACTATCAGTTTAAAGAGAGTCCAATTTAAGATTTTGCCAAAGCTATTTGCTTCCAATCTAAAAATACTAAAGCTACATAGACCGCCAATTGATTATCAGTTTTGGGGGCACTTTAAAACAAAACTCATCAACATTGACTATATTCTTCTAAAGCAACAGTGAGCAAGAATTGGAAACCTTTAAATATATATGATTATCTTCTTTATTCCAGAAATTCATATAAAGAAAGTGACAGGTAAACGTTCCAGTCCACCAAATTGTCCACTCTTATCATATGAAGTAGCCAATTTAAATGAGTGTGGCCATCAATGTTTACAGATGAACAACTGTATCAGTTTTAATTATGGTCCTAATTTAATCAACACTGTTAATTGTCAATTAGTGAGATGTTTTTCACACCCAAAACAAGACTTTACTGTAGATAGTGCATGGGACTGGCGATATTTGTCACGTTAAACATTAAAGGGACAAGTTCATTATCTGTTTGACCAAACGTACGCAAAATTTTTGAATAAGCCAATCAGTAAAATAGATCAAATAGCTTTAGATCAAATAGTTTCTGCCACACCATATAACAGAAAATATCTATCATTCACTCAATCATAGCATCCTTACTGGATTAATATTTTTCGATTTTCGTAAAGCTTTCGATATGATAAATCATAATATTCTTTTAAATAAATGAAAAAAATAATTCGAATAGTCTTTTTTAAAATCTTACATCCATAATTGAAACCAATGTACCTCCATTGGGCAAAACCAATCGACATTTCAATGTATAACTTCTGGTGTACCTCAAGGATCTATCTTAGGTCCTTTGTTATTCAATCTTTTTATAAATGATCTTCCACTTCATAGTACGTGTAACCGTGATTTGTTTGCTGATAATACTACAATTTATTCATCATCTTTAGATATTTGCTCTTTAAACTCTGTTCTTCAATCAGAAACTAATAAAATCGTTCAATAGTGTCATGATAATTCTATGATTATAAATCAATCGAAAACAAAAAACTATGTTAATTGGCTCAATTCATCAATTAAAAATTCCAGAAAAATTTTCTTTCTTTACAACTATTCAATTCTCTCAGACTTTAAACTATTGGGTGTTATTTTGGATCAAACTTTTGTTTGGAATAAACATGTTAATTACATTTGTAAAATTTTAAATCAGAAATTATTTCAAATGAGCAAGATTAATCCTCTCTTCCTTCAAACTTTATTAAATTATTCTATTTCGCTCATTTTCAGTCCCGCATTTATAACTGCTTCACCATTTGGGATACTTGTAATAATTATTCTTCAGCTGCCTTTAATAGACTTCAAAAATTGATTTTAGGCTAATTAATAATAAACCAGTACTTAAATTATCTCCACTGTCACCTTCCCATGAAACCTTATCTACATCATTGAATATTCTTACAGTTCAAAAACGTCATTTAGTCAATTAATAATTTTAAAAATATCTTCAATATAAAAAAAACAACAAATGCATCCATTTACCAGAGATTTCTTATTCCAAAACCTACTAAATCTATATATAAGAATAGCTTGAAATATAAAGGCCCTTGTTTACCTCGATCCTTAAAGAAAATCAATGTTTTGGCAAAATTCGAAAAAAAATCTTGAAAAGATCGAACAACATATTCAATTGAATGATCAATGTATATAATTGTTAATAATTTTACTGCTTTTCTGATTGTAGTTTTTCTGTTTTTAGTTTCTTTTGTATTATATGTTATGTTCCTTTGAAGGGCAAAATTGTGAAAAGGCCAGGCTTAATTTCCACGCTAATATTATTATTATTATTATTAGTGACATCATTCCTCCCCAAAAGAGCCAAATATATCCCTCCTCATAATAAATCAATCATTTTAGAAAATGTATTCCATGATTAACCATGCATGGATATAAAATCACACTCCACACATCAAGAGAGTTTAATGTGACCCTTGGGCCGAATGTTTGTTCACGATTATCTGTTTGTCCGGAGTGAATGATGTAAATTTCAGTCGTAGATCACCTCTCTCAGTTATCTTCAACTAGCCACGTTTCTTTTACCGTGCTGAACCCACATTCCATCTAATACCTGTAGGGAGATGTCAACAAGAGATTCAACGAAGCACGTTGTAGGAATTCCACGCCAGTTATAAGGCACTGATATTTTCATTGTTTATTTATAGGTTTATGTCTATATTGTTTTTTCTTTATAATAGAGCCAATGACATATTAAAATATTTGGGTGTCTGAATAGCATCTTCCATCGTGTCCATACCATTCGTCATACTTACTTAATAAGACCGTGTCAATACCCTTAGTCGTCGTACGATAAGCATCTATTGACTAGACCAATTTGATAATATGCCGTTTGTGTGGATGGAATTAATTTTGTTGAATTTATTTGGATTTTGGAATACAGTTGAGATAGTTGGTAAGTGATTTTATCTTAGATCATATAGAATTATCCTGATCGCTTCAAGGAATGCACCGCTATGGCAGCCTTGTAGCGGGACTGACACACTAATTGTTCGAATTGCAATCCAATCTGGCAAGAGTCACCGATAATAGTCAATCATAAGTTGCATGCACTCTTTTTACGCTATCGTGTAAATAAATTTGATTACGCACATATACAATTACCCAAAGCTACGTTGTATACGTACATTTAAAACAAACTTTATGTTAGTAAAGTTATTGTAAACCACATGCTGAAAATAAAGATGCATACGTCAATTTACAATTACCTAATGTTGTAAATAAAGATGTATTCACAGATTTACAATTACCTTAGGCTAGCATGTAAATAAATTTGTTTACGTATATAACAATTACA